CCTCCCTGGTCGCAGCCAATAAAGCGGAGACCAGAATCCGGCCGCGCCTGCTTCCTGGGTCTCGGCCACCTGAGCCTCCCGGGACGGGGCTGGGCCGAGCGCTGGGCTCCCCACGCCCTCTGGGGGGCCCTCGGCGGTGCCCCCGCGGGCTGGCGCCGTCTCGCCCCCCACCTCGGGGCCCAGCGGTTGTGCAGTCAGGTCCCGGCCCGGCCACCCTGGCCTCGTCCCGTCGACTCACCGGCAGAGGGGCGACCCGGAGCCCAGAGCGGGGCGCAAGCACGGGGCTCCCAGGACGCGTCTCAGCACCCGAGGGAGAGCGGGGTCCTCAGCAAGCACCTTCGTCTTCCAGCGCCTTGCGCCCTGCCTCACGCCCCCACAGATGGGCCCGCATGTGGACCCGCTGGCTGGGGAACTGTTCCCCAGGAGTTGCTCTTTCTACCCAGCAGAAGGGTGTTCCCGGCTCCGTCAACCACCCCAACTCGTGACTACTCCCTTCACTTTCTTAAAAGATTTATCTATTTATGCATACAAGAACCGGGGTACAGGCCAGAGGTGCGGGATGAGAGGCTTCACCAGAGACAGAGCGGGGGGCAGGACAGGCGGATCCGCGAAGCACAGTGCTGAGGGGGCAGCGGCGGCCAGGAGAGGTCTGCCGCGCCCTGGGGTCACTCCCTGGCTGGGGATCGAACTCGCAGTGGTTGTGCATAACTTCATGGGCAGTGGCTGTGTACTTCAACCCCTTGCGCCCACAGGGAGGACCGACAGCCTCCTTTTCTCACCCCCAAAGGGCTGGTTCTCCGTGTTAGGGGCAGAAGTCAGCATGGTAGAGTCACCCTGGGAGATTATGTGCTCAAATGGCCCAAGCTCTGCTGCCCAGCTGCTCCTCTCCCTTCAGATTCAACCACGCCCTGGATCAGTGCCTGGACGTGAAAGTGTTTCCTGGTGGTAACTGTTCTTCCTTCCCCCATGACCTTGCTGGCCTCCGCCTAAATGTCCACCCCACCCATCCACCCCAGCGGGCACTGGGAGGTGACAGGGCTAATTAGGGCCAGTCAGATTTCTAGGGAATGGCAAGACACACACCCACTCTTTTCTTGAGCTACGGGCAGACATCACTAATACTCTGAAGAGGATTCAGAGACAGAGGCAGCTCGTGGGCTCTGAGGGGAAAATGCCATACGGACTAGAGTCCAGTAAAGAATGTAAGCTGGGCACCCAGCCAGGTGGATTAAATACTTAGAACTCTGGCCCCTGCCTGCCTGATAACTCCTTGGTGCAATCAAATTTGCCAGGGCCACTGGCTTAATAAGATGATAATGCATCTGGGCACATGGAAACCCCCCCCCCCCATAAATGCACACAAGAGGCTGGCTCTGACCCAAACTTGCCATGTGACCTTGAGTCAGTCACTTCCCCCTGTGGGTCTTTGTTGAAAGATTCAGGATTCTCTAACTCTCTTGCAAAGGCCTTCATTTTTCATTCAATAAAGCTTTCTGGCTGTGGGCAGACTGACGAGGGACCCGCATTTCCTATCTTACATAAAACACACAAGAACAAGCTGTCTAGAAGTTCCTGTTTCATCTCTCTACAAGGAATAAGAACTTACACTGAATGGCTTCTATTGTTTCCTCGATCTTTTACAGTTGTCTGACTGTTACCTGATCCGAAGCCATGTTGTATGAAAGTTCCTTTATCGAATCTTTCTAAAGAATTCAATGCCGGTTTTCTAATGACAGATCTCTTGTTCATCCACGTGGGGTCCGTTTATACAGTTAGTGCAAAGTAGGTATAAATGTGGGAACAAATGGAATCGTTGATAGACATACATTTGAACTGGAGAGCAAGTGAGTATCCCATAGACAGTCCAGCCCTTCAGGGTTCAGTTCTGCCTAAGTCACCTTGCACAGACGGAGTGGGAGATGCCCCAGCTCCTTCAATGAGTTGGTTAGCTGGCTAGCAGGAGGGTGGTTAAAAGACACAGCTGATGGGCATGTAGACACAACTTCATCCACCAACAGAACACACTTCTTCTCAAGTTCCCATGTCATAGTCAAGATAGATCACATTGGGCCAGATAACAGACCTCAACAAATTCCAAAGACTCAATAGTGTCCCAATGTATGCTCCATCGCAATGGAATTAAATAAGGAATCAGTACGCGGAAGATGTCAGGAGAATAAATAACACACTTCTAACTAACCCAAGGAAATCTCAAGAGAAATTTTTAAATATCTTACAAGAAAGGATAAATCAACCTATTTTAATAGGAAGCCATGCCAGTGACACCTGCCTGGGTGGGAGTTTCTAGCAATATGTGAGAGAAGAAGAATGATCTAATCAGAGAAGAATGAGTAGGTGGAGCAAGGCTATTCTAGAACTGTGAAAGTATTTGCATGATTTTTCCACAATGTCCCCTTCACAAACCTATGGAACGTGCAGCCCTTCAACGAGGTAACTACAGACTTTAGCTATAAGGACGTATCAATGCCCGTTGTAACACATGTCCCATACTAAGCATAAGGGAAACTGCGGATGGAAGGAGAGGGTCGGGTGGAAACTCTTGTTTTTCTGGAAAGCTAAAATTGCTGTAAGAAATAAAGTCTGTTAACCAGAAGGGCAAACTGTGGCATGACACCAGTGAACAAGAGCTGGGTGTGTGTATGCCATGTTCACCTAGAAGAACGCCTGAAATCTACCATCAGGGTGTTTACAGGGGTCGTCTGTGTTTCGGAGTCCTGGGACCCTTGCCTCCTGGTCTTCTTTTTCCATTTGCAATATACTCTGACAGTCTTCAGTGGCTACAGAGCAGATTTGGCAACAACAACAAAGAACAAAGTAAAAGGTCTCTAATTATGTTTTCTTTTCGGTGCAGTACTAAACAGGGGTCAAAAAACTATTTCCAGAACACATCCTGAAGAAAGGGCTGATGTTCTAGGTGGAGGTTAAAGCACTGCCTAAGTTTCGAAACAGAACGAAAGTTCTTGAAGGGCAGCTCTAGGAATCGAGGAGTGGATGGGTTGCATAACTGCCAGGCTCCTCCCTTCAGGGGAAATAAAACTGAAAGCCACCCAGCGCGAGGAAGTAAAGATATAAGAGCCTGTGGGACGCAGATATAAGAGCCTGTGGGACGCAGATATAAGAGCCTGTGGGACGCAGATATAAGAGCCTGTGGGACGCAGGAGCCAGGTCCGTAGTCGCTGGCTTTGCTGTGCCTCTCTGGTGACACAATGGAGCTGACAGGCATCCCGGCCAAATCTCTGGACAAATTCATAGAAGACTATCTCCTGCCAGACACACCTTTCCGCCAGCATGTCAGGCAAGCCATCCACATCATCAGCGGTTTCCTGAAGGAGAGATGCTTCCGAAACTCCCAGCAAGGTGTGCGGGTGTCAAAAGTGGTGAAGGTGAGTCCAGGCTGACAGGCCAGGGCAGGATGGCTGCAGGGCAATAGATCTCACAGAGGAGAAGTTGTGGTCCCGAGGGTGGGTGGTTCCCAAAATACCACCACAGCTTGTGAACTAAGTTCTCAGTGAGGACCTAGAGGGACACCTTTTTAACAATGCTGACTAATGTCTAGGCTGGGGAACCACCCAGTGTCCCGAGCTGGGTAAAAAAGTGTAATAACTTGAAGGCATTTATCTACTGCCTGTGCAACCTCGAGCAAACGACTTAACCTCACTGTGCTTCAGCTTCCTCAAGTATAATCCCCAATGCCTTACAGAGCTGCGCAGATTCAGTCCGATAAAGTCTGTACCTCACCCGGCTCCAGCAAATCCAGGGGGGTAGAATAAGAGAAGGTGGCCATGGGCAGGGGATACGTAGACGTTGGAACAAGACAGCCAGAGTCCCCGTCACCTCTTCAGGAGATATTCGCTGTGGGGATGCGCTGGGGCAGTGTCTCTGTAAAGTGGGAGCTAATAATAAGAGCCCTTGGCCATGGAGTTCTTGTGAACACTGTAGGAGTCGGGATGGACAAGCCCTCAGGGCGCGGCCAGGCAGCGGTCCTGTGCGAGGGGGCTCCCCGCACTCTATTCCGGAAGGCTCTTCTGGGGAAATGCTGGCTCTACTGCTCCTGCTTGTTTTAGGGTGGCTCCTCCGGCAAAGGCACAACCCTCAAAGGTCGATCTGACGCTGACCTCGTCGTCTTCCTCAGTCCCCTCACAAGTTTTGAGAAGCAGCTTGAGTTCCGAGGAGAATACATAAAGGAGATCAGGAGACAGCTGGAAGCCTGTCAAAGAGAGAAATACTTTGAGTTTAGAGTGAAGTTTGACATCCAGAATTCGACTCACGAGCGGCCCCGTGCCCTCAGCTTCACCCTCAGGTCCCAGTTTTGGCCTCAGGAGGGCGTGGAGTTCGATGTCTTGCCTGCCTTCGACGCTCTGGGTGAGTCCCGCCAGGTGCCCAGGCTTCAGCCTCTGTGCTGAGTCTGGGTTTCTTTCTCCCTTTTCACATTTCTGAGCAGAATCCCCCACAGCTTGAGCGTCTTTCCAGAGCCGGGCATCCCTTCACAGTGGACAGGAGACGGGGCAAAAATGAACACGGTCACGGTGGGCCACAGAAGCAACCCTAAGTAGCAGTTTGGCCTGATGGGGGGCCAGACATTTCTTACAGGAAGCCTGCCAGGATTACTGGTTCTACTTAAAGCAAAGTGTGTCACTTTCACCTTCTAAAAGTGGGGAAGCCTAAGCCTGGCATAAAGTCAGTATGTGCCATTTCGCCTTCTATCTGAATCATTGCACTGAAAGTCATGCTGAGGGTTGGGGTCTGCAGATTATCTGCCGGGACCTTTCGTCAGGAAGCATAATCTCTCTGAGGCTCAAGTTCCCCACAGGAAAACTGGTACAACTGCATGACCTATGTCATATTATTTTTTAAATACCCATGTACATTAAAGTTTGACACAAGGCCCAGTACTTAGTAGGCATTCACAAATACAAGTCCCCCCACCGTGCACCTGGGCGCCCCACCGTGACCACATGGGGCAGTTTCTATTTTAAATTCTCCATGGAATTTTATTCTCAGATTTTTTTTTTTTGGTAAATTGTGAATGGGATAATTTTATCTACTCCTTCTTTCAATAGATTGCATATAGGAAGGCTACTGATTTCTGTGGTTGACTTTGCAACCTACTACTATACTAATTTATTGTTCTAATTAATTTTCTCTGGGGTTTTTAGGGTCCTCTACATGTATTACCACACCATTTGCAAAAATGGCTGGATTGTTTATATGTCTTTCTCTTGCCTAATTGCTCTAGCTAAGACTTCCAGTATTATACTGAAAAACAGGGCGAGAGTGGACTTCCTTGCATTGTTCCAGAAAAAAAAAAAAAGAGAAAGTAGCAGGCAAACTATAAATGGGAGACATTCAGCAGGGGAGGGGTAGGGAGAAGGGTCACAAGAGTCTATGGTCATGGCTCTTGGGTGTCTTGATGGTTGAAATTTTATGGGTAAAACACCAGAGAAGAGACATCCAACAGCAATGTAAAAACATGAACATTTTTAAGTAAAGTTTCCAAGGAAACAGCGACATCTGCCGGACAGAACACAAACTGCCGCTCTTAACCTGTAGGGGCGGAACTGTAGGGGCGGAACTGTAAGGGCGGAACTGGAGGGCGGAACTGTAGGGGCGGAACTG